ACGAATATTGATCTGGTTTTCACCGAGTTGTAAAAGTATTTAAATCTAACAGCAAGCAGACTAAACCATACATGGACAGGGTGATCAGGGGTTCCTCTTTCAAAGGGACTGCAGAGCAGTTTTAACCCTGGCTTTAGTTTTTAAGAGTCACAGCTGCAGAGCAGACGCCTTCCTTTGAATTTCCAATGGGATTTAGAAAACATTTCAGCCAAGTTACACAGCAATCATATCATGTAGTCATAAAATACTTTGCAAAAAAAAAAAATCCCAAAAGTGGGAATTTATATAAAGTTCTTTTTAGGGCTGAAACAATTAATTAAATTAATTGTGATTAATTGATTATTGAAATAATCGTACAACTAATTTATTCGATTAATCGTTACCTTGAGAATAGAGACTCTAAAACATGCCTTTAGCTCAATGCTTCCCAACTTTTTTTGACTTGCGTACCCTTTTGGGTACTTTGTACGTACAATATCTAATTATAAAATAAGCATTTAATTGTTAGGTATTTTGTTCTTTGCATCTAAAAAAAAAACAAAATAAATATGTTGCCTGGAAGCTAGTAGGGAATCAAAATAGGTACAAAATAAAATTAAACAATAAATCTGTCTCTATAAAACTGGAGCTCTTCTGAGTAACTTAGACTTTATTTGTCATTTTTTACACACAAGTGTATACAAAAAGAAATTTTGTTCAGTACAGCTCTCAAGACATTTTCATTTTTTAAAGTGCAGCCTTGATAAAGGGAAGCAGCTGTGAAGCATTCAGGGTTTTTTTTTTTTTTATAACCCTATTTTATATAACATTCAGCAGTCTAATGGCAGTGGGGAAGAAACTGTTCTAGAATCTGCTTATAACTCCCTGAACTCCCTTATAAGCAGATATAAACTTGATGAATTGGAAACAAAATACTAAACAAAAATTGTAGTCGGACTGACTCCATTTATTTTACTTTGATTTCAACAGGTGACACTGATCTGCTGTGATGAGCTCCGATAGCTCAGTGTGAAAAACAGCTGATCCCAGACTGTTCTCTAAACCAGGCTGTTCCTCTGCTTGGTTTGGATGTGTGTCAAAGATGAAGTTGAACTCAAACCTATAAGAATAACTTCCTTTTTTTGTTGAAAAAAGCTTGTTTTATTTATTTTTTTGTTGGATCATAAGAAAGCAAAACAGATTCCAGCCCTATTTTATTTTACTACCAAATAAATCAAATATTTTCATGTACCCCTCGCAATGCACTCACTGCTTTAGCTGACAGAGCAACACACTTAGAACAGTAATTATACCAAGATTGTAAAAAAAATATATTAAATGTATAGTGGAGGATGTTCTTGTTCCGGGTGGATCATCAAAATAAGTGGTCCTCCTAAGGGTCAATCGTTTTAGTGATATGTTTACGTAAGGCCGTCCTACGTTTCACCATTTTCACTTACCGGTGGTGAGTCTGACAAAGTGGAAAAAAAGCACATTTGCTTTTGGAAAGTAAGCTTGTATGAGCGATGCAAATAGCAACTTTTAAAGGCATACTATGCAACATTTTTCAGTTAATTAATGTGTTCCATAACGTTTTGGATGATTAAATGAGTCATTTCAGATTGAACAAAGGTTTTCTCAGCCGCCCTGGTGGTCTGTAGGGGAAATACCATACTTTCAATTGCAGGAGCCCTCGGCCCGCACCCACAGGCTCAGAAGTCTCGTGCATCGCGAGAGTCGGTCTTGCTTTAGAACTACTACACGCCCCCAGTGAAAGGCATGCTCGTTGCTAGCTCAGTGGCGATATTTGTGCAGTTATCATGGCGGAACCAGCGAGAATTTTCAAACTCGAAAATTGGAACAAAATAGTCACTTACCGCAGTAGACATGGTGATTCGTTGCGTTCGCCTGTCTGCTAAGCTCAAAACAACCGCGCCTGGCTTGACGGAGAAACCAGGAGAACAGCTGAGCATATTTACGACAGTGCACTTTTACTTTCGTCCTCTGGGGGGAGCCTCGCTGGAAAATCAACACCGGTTTCATAGTGTACCTTTAAACAGAGCGCGCACAAGGAGAAATGGGCTCGTGCACGCTCTCGCACGTGCTTAATAGACGTTCCATCTTAGGAGCAGGTACAGGGTTGTGCATGTGCATTTTTTTTAAGTGGAGAGGGCGGGTCTTTTCAAAAATTTGCGAAAATCCTCCTGCATAACTTTAACATTTTCTGTCAATATGCTCTATTGAGAACTCCACAATCGGAAAAGTGTTATTTTCACCTGGTTTAATTTTGTTAAAAAGTCTTCTTTAAGGAACCATTATCTGATTATTAATCGATTGATCGAAAAGATAATCCTCAGATTAATCGATATGCAAAATAATTATTAGTTGCAACCCTAGTTCTTTTGATTGTGATACAGAGAGATTGAATCCAGCTAAACAATTTGCCTTCAGTAGTCACCTAAATAGCAGTCAACAAAGCTGTTTCATCTAAATAAGAGAACAGGGAATCAATCAACAGCTCTGAATATTTAACCCAGACTTAAAGTCAAATATATATGTTTGGAAACTATCCAAACAGGGGTTAAACTTAAGTGTAGACTACATGGAATAGATTGCAAATGGTTCAGTTTTTCATTCTTACACAGCCCATTACTATTTTTCATCATCTTCAGAATTATGCGCTACTTTTTTCTGGTCTATCATATAAAATCCAATTGAATTAAATCAATGTTTGCAACTGTCATGTGAGAAAATGATCAAACATTTCTAGTGCTAGGAAAACATTTGCAAAGCACCAGTTATGTAAATTACTAATAGCTGCTAATTAGTTGCTATAACCAATTCACTGCTGCTGAACTAACACACACATAACAAATCCGCAGCTAAAAACAAACATTTATTCACAACTAAAATGACTTTCCAGTCTCTTGATGGGGAAAAAAATGAAATAGACATTAAAATGGCATTTAGTAGCTTTAGGCTATAACATGTCCCCAACGTGCACGGATATGAATTGCATCAAAGATGAAGCCAAAATCTAAAACACAGACACAAACTATCAAAGACTCAGAACATGGTTAATTAGCTCTGTACTGGTCACACAAAATTATCTGAATCATCCCAATGCTAACACCACAGAGTCTGGTATAACAAACGGCCATTTGTCGTTATGATCCGGGACATTAGTCCAGAACCTTCTGTCAACAGACACCTTGGCTGTCGATGGAACGACCCCACCGCTGCAAGACAAAGCCCTGAGCTCATGGTGAACTCTAGTGCTCACACTCATAAACACAAGCTGAGCTCAGTGTGGCCTCATACCTACGGCCTTATTCACTGCAAGGTTCCCTCAGCATTAACGCCCTCATTTATAAGGAGTGACACAATACCCTACTACCCACCAGCTAGGAACGAAGGACCTTGTCAGTGATCGCATTAAAATGTCTGTTTTATTGTCATAACTAAAATGTCCGGAGAGAAAAGTTCAGCTGTTTAAAGGAGAAGTGCAGTTTTTCTGTATTTACCCTTTTTTTTTGGGTCTACTTTGCCTTGCTTCATACAGCTTCAACTGTACAAATCCAAACATGACACAGGAAGAGCAGAGTTAAGAAACTTTGATAAAAGCTTAGTGAAGTCTTTGTATCTAGAACACAATTTTTTTTGTTATTTTCTTTTAAATCTAGATAAAAGCAGGGTTGCTCAGTGGAGCTGTGGGTTGCACTGCAGCCTTGCAGCAAGAAGGTTCTGGGTTTGATTCCTGGCCCGGGGTCTTTCTGCATGGAGTTTGCATGTTCTCCCTGAGCATGCGTGGGTTCTCTCTGGGTACTCTGGCTTCCTCCCACAGTCCAAAAACATGACTGTTAGATTAATTGGCTACTCTAAATTCTCCTTAGGTGTGAGTGAATGGTTTGTTTGTCCTGTTTGTCTCTGAGTTGCCCTGCAATGGACTGGTGACCTGTCCAGGGTGGACCCTGCTAGAGATAGCCATTGACAGCTAGAGATAGACACCAGCAGCCCTCACAACCCCCAATTGACAAGCATGTCAGATAATGGATGAATGGATAAAAAGCATAATGGTAAAGAGATTTGCTGAAAACAAAAGAATGAAATGTGGATGGTGCATTTGTAAGCAGTGCCCCTTGACTTTAACACCCTTTAAGAAATGTCCATCCCATTTCCTGCATTCAGATGGGTGCACAGAGTCCAGCTGCATTTAGCTCCAACCATCTTCCCATTGACTTTGATCAACTTCATTACATGTTTGAGGTGTTCCACATGTGGCAAACTGCAGATGGTACTTTTCACTCAGCAATGTCTTCTCTATGCCACTCTTTCATAAATACCGTACTTATAACGTCCCGTTTGGAGATTATTCTGCTGAAAATGTGCACTTCTGCAGCTTCACCATAGATTCCTCGGCCTTCCTTGTTCTTTTGTGACTGACACATACCTTTTTAGTTTGGTGTATCAGAGTAAAAGGGGCTGAATACAAATGCAGACATTTCAGGTTTTATATTCTTTAAAGAATTGAACGTTTTTGTCAAGGCTTTTTCAAAGCACTGCTTGCCTTTCCAGCTTGCTTAACTGAATCATTCTCCACATGATGACTGATCAGGATAAAAATAAAACCTCTGCATCATTGCTGGATATCTCACCTTGCAACTCATGGAAACTTTCCTGGTGCTTGTTGGACGTCTCCCTGGCCTCGTCCAGCTCAAGCAGCAGCTGCAGCACCTGGGCCTTCAGCTCCTCCAGCTCCTGCTCCTCCGTCAGCGGCTCCTGCTCCTTCCTCCTTTTCTCCAGCCCTTCCCCTTCCTCCCTCAGCTTCCTCTCTTCCCCCTCGTCCTCCTGGTCCAACACTTCCTTCTCGTTGTCCTCCAGGACGCCTCTCTCCTTAGCTGTCATCTCGTTGTCCATGTTCGGGCTGCTGTCGGCTTTCAGATCACCAGGATCATCTGTTGGAGGGATGCGGATGATAGAAGAGGAGATAAAAAGGAGAGTTTGATGTGTTACAAAAATCTGTCATTCTCTGCATCCGGCCATGCTTGAAACAACAGCACCATCTTGTGAGACGCACATTATTTTGCACACCGACTCCTACTCCATTTATATCCACTAAGAAAATACAGTGTGAACTATTAATATAGAAAAAAAAATAGATATTCTACTTGTGAATTCATCTTTTAGGAAAGAAGAAGGAAAACATCTACCTATAAAGCAACAGCTTAACAGTCAGGATGTAGTTTAATCAACTGCTCTGCACTTTGAATACAAATGTTCAGCCAGCAGGTGGAGTGAGTTAGCTGACACATTGCGGCAAAGCAAAGTAGAGGGGGGGGTGAGTCAGTATGCTGAAGCAATCACTATGACTCACCACTCAGCAATGCACCTCAAAGTCCATAACAACATGAGCTGGCGCTTATAGTAAGAGAGATGAGGCACATGCGACTCTCACAAAGCGCCGTGTCACATTACACGGCCCTATGCAGTCTTTTCATTGCTTATTTCACAGCCTGATCCAAGCATGGCGGTTTATGCACAGAACTGATGTACAGCAATGCATTGGGAATCGGAATAGATGTAAGAAGAGGCGCTTGGACAAATACAAGACGGGAAAACTAAAGTTAAAAAAAAGAGGGGGGGGGGTGCGCTCAGCTGCAATTTCAAAGGGAAAATATCACTCCCGCTTTAACTCTGTTCAGTAACTGCAAGAAAATCTGCTCTCACCACAGCACAGATGCACTGACCCGACATCATTTTTCTCTCACCTTTCAACAGCATGCTCTTTTAAGGTCGAGTCCGTTTCACAGTTAAATGAAAATGTAGCATTACAAATTTGGAGCCGAGTGCCTCATAACTGCGGGTTAGACTCGGAGAGGAGTGTGACAGTGAGATGAGCAGAGGAGGGAGGCTGCAGCAGGGGACAGGGTGGTGAATTAACTACAGATCTACCTAATTAGCAGCCATACATGCCTGTGTGTAATCAGGACTCGGGAGGATTTCGCATCTCGAGATAATTATTTCTTTCCCTCCCCTCAGATTTCTTGTAACTACAGTACAGAGCATGGAGAAGTTTAGACAGGGTTACATCGTAGAATAATATCCCAGGCGTAGGACGTTTTACAACGACCTGTACGAAGACTGGAAAGTCTCCTATGAGACATGGTGGTGGCAGGATCATGCTGTGGGGGTGGCTGGTCAAAGTTTATGGGAGGATGGACAGAGTTGTAATTAAAACATCTGTAAATTAGGTTTATTTACATTTTTTATAAATATATGATACAGAGATTTGTTTCACATTGAACACAAACATTAGTTTCATTATTACTGTAATTATATAGCCTCGTGAGACCAATCTAATCTCGCGAGCTTTCAAGGTTTCACTCGCAGATCAGTCTGGCTACTTTCCGTTAAAGAAAACG